ATTAGTTTTTAAAAATTTTTTTTTCTAAAAAATCTCCTCGGATAATAGAAAAGCTTTGGCATAAAATGTGTGCATAAAAATGTTTACAAAATTTAACAACGGAATCAAAATTGCACTGATAATAGATAAAAACCTACATCACTTTTGTAGAACATTTTAACCCTCCGCCCACCATTTCAGTTGGGCTCATATGAAACTTATTAAAAATAAGGGTAAAAAAAAACCCACTATGTTAACAGTTAAGGGATTAAAATCTTCTAGGACAAAAGTCTTTAAATCACCTGTGCGATTCCGCCGGAGCGAATCCGCACCGTTTTCAATGCTACAGAGTTCACTACACTCATACCTCTTTATACGGCCCCTCATTTTAAAACGTTTTGCTATAACGGCCTATTTCAATTAAGGAACGCCCTCGGTTCATGGCGTACATTATCTCGTCATATGTATGGCTAAGAGCAATCGGTGATTCACAGGTTTTGTGACACCTATTCAAAAGAAGTTAACATCAGAAAAGTTAACCGAGGCACATAATCACATTAAATAGGGACCAAGCATTCTTCTGCAGTTCGATCCTAATGAATCGAGAAATGTAAAAGTTCCACGAAACATAGATGAGTCAATTTTTGGTACGTATAGCTGCAACGCAAGCCTTCATTACATTACATATCCTTTTTAAAAGATTTTCTTCAAAAATTTCTTTTTACTACCTCATACTATTATTTAATGCTTCATTCTTTATTTCACAGCAACTCTTTTTTGTTTTAGATCCAATTTCAGGCTGTATAAGAGGTATGAGGGTACTCCAAACGATACATATATTTGTAAATAGCAAAATTATAATATTTATTAACACATTACTAGTGACTAGTCTTTGATTGGAAGTTTCAAGACCAAAGCGTAACACACAGTTTTTTTTCGCTTCGTAGGGGGGGAGGGGGAGAGGGGGGAGGGAAATTGTGCGCTTATGGAAATGTAGAACGACTGAAACAAAGCGTCAAATCTGGTGGCAATGAAGTAAAAAAAACCAATACATACGGTAGCAAAAGTCATCGAAACAATCATCCAGCGAAGTGTATTATAGCGTTTCTGTATATATACCATTAATCGAGTCCAAAGACAAAGCTTTAATCTCAGCTGCTGTTACGTTAGCTCAACATCCACTTAGAGGCAAAGGATACCATCGAACTTTATTAACTGCCGCATGGAAGATTTTTGGTGAGGATTTCATAGGGAATGAATAACAACATACTTAATATGAATGAGGTACATCATTACTAGGCTTGGATAGTTCTTGAACTAAATGAACTAAAGAACTAGTTCGTCTCAATGATCAAGTCATTATAAAGTGCCTTATTTTTAAATAGTACTGCACTTTTAATGAGGCTGTTACCTGTCAAACAGTATGAGATACTGTTTTTGCCCTGACAAGGGAAGTAATGGTTTCCTTTTATTATCCGTGACAGCAAAGCTTAAGTTTTTCCATCGCTCGAGCAACATATCTTTATGATTAACTTAGTCATCGGCGATCACAAACAGATATATGATACATTTCAGATTAGCAGATAAGTAACGGCAACAGTCTCTGGGCGATTTTATTAAAATTTGTCAAACTTTAAATTGTGACGGGTGTGACACGTGACGGACGTGACCAACATAATCAATTTTTATTTTTCGAAAATAAAGGTATATAAATACTTACAAGCAATTCGCACATATTCGCCTTTGTCATAGCATTACTTTCTTCAGCTTGCTTACACTGTCCAAGATGTGTTTTCCTTAAAAAGAAACTATCTTGTGTATTTTGTGACGGGCGTGAATTTAAAATATGCTTTGCTTCAATAAATAATGAAATATTTAGTAGGTACTTTCCCGAAAAAACTAGAAAATTAGACTGTTACAATGCTGTCGAATTGTTCTCTCCATTGACCGTTTAAGCAATGCAAAAAAGACAATAGACTACTCTCATATGAGTTTGTAAATGGTACAACCTCAAGTAAAAAAATATCTGATTTTGAGATAGATTTCGAAATTTTGGCTTTCAGTCTTGAAAGATGGATATATTTAAGGCCGGTTACTCAATGAATAATACACTCAAATTCTTAAGTTTATTTTCGTTTCATACGGTATCGATTACCGTGGTATGCGCCGTTTGTAAAAGTATTATATGAATTCAAATTAACAACGATTTTGTTTTGTATGTATCTAATATGTATGATAATAGTATGATAATTCATAAATTGAGCTAAATGAACTGAATGAACTAAATAACTAGTTCACTAAGGTGAGCGAACTACAACTGAACGGTTCACTCAAAAGAACTAAAGTGCCCAACACTAAACATTATTAAAATTCTACTACCCCTGTGTAGCACCAATACATCGATGCAGGCCGAAGCCAATACTAGAACAAAAACAAATAATTAGATGTATTTTTTTTTTTGCTTTTGGTACACAAATATCAAATTTCAGGTATTCATTCCTGAAGTAAGGGTAAGAAAAAACAATTACTCGATTTTGTATGCACTAACTATGGTGAAATTAAAAATTTAGACAATCAGGCCCAATCAACTGATGGAACATCACCTAGTTTCGGAAGATCCCATGCGGGGACCTTATAAAGGGTGTTTTTTAGACATGTGGTTTTCAAGAACAAATAAAACGCATATAGTTTAATGTTATGGCCAAGAATTTAGCTTTATTATAAATATAAAGATATGCCACTATGATTTAAAAATGATTTCGGGCAAGTGACCGCCGCGGCTGGCTCCAATAAATTCCAGCCAAGAGGCCCAATATTCCTCCACTTTTTGCAGAAATTGTTGCCGCATGACAGCAATCGCGTCAATCGTCTCTGGCTTATCTGCGGTGTTAAATCGCACGATCTTAGAGGCCATACCACAGGCCCACAACACGAGATAATGAGCTAACCAAAAGTTTCCTTCAATAAATTGACTGTTTCGTTGGCTGTATGGCATGTAGCGCCGTCTTGTTGGAACCATAGGTCGTCCACATCAACATCCTCCAATTCAAGCACGAAAAAGTCACTGTCCAATTCATTCAACTGTTGCGCGCGAAGGCGGATGGACTCATTCGGGTCTTCTTCGATACTCTGCTCCACAGCAGCAATTGCATCTTCGGTGTGCACTGTACGGCATCTCTGAGGATGCGCATTATCCACTAGAGTAAACGTGGTGCGAAACCGATCCATGGTTGCTCGAATTACCGACTCTGCTGGCCGATTATGTCGACCGAATATTGGACGCAGCGCGCGATACGTCGCGCGAACCGAACAATTATTTTAGTAATAAATTTGCATGATTTGCAAACGTTATGCCGGAGTAAGTCTGTTCATTATGAAATGGCAAACAAAACTGAGTATAAATCAAGTAACAGCTGTCAAAAATCAACAACATAAAAAAATTGTCAAAAATCAACGGCATCTTGTAACCACTTGAAACTTGCACTTTTGTATACTAAAGTACAAGGGCTACAAGACTGCATTTCCGAAATTTTGTTTTAAATGTTATTAACTTATGCACTGCAGGTCATTAGGATAGCACACTCCTTTGTTGACTTGTTTCTTAAATTTGTATAAAATTTTAAAATCGGATTTACGCGTAGAATACATTTTTATAAAAAAAAATTAATGCATATTAAACATACAAAAGGAAAACTATGCATACAGATGATTAAAAGGGTGTGCTATTCAAATGACTGGGAGTGTTTATTGAAAGACATTTTGAATATCGTGTAAAAATTTTTCTGTGAGAAACTATAAATACATAAATATGTATGTATAACTAACTGTACATCTATTTTGGTACATATGTATGTATGTATTCATGAACGATGGATTGATTTAAATTAGGTTTCATGCTTTTTAAGATTATCATCAAAATTTTGTGCATTCAATTTAAATAGCAATTATTCACCTTAACATGTCCGGTGAAATGTTAACAACAGTTGCTGCAGCTAAATTTTATCAGTAGCATTAGCCGCACTAGTGTACTCGTAAATACGTCAACTATGTACTCAATTGTCGAATGGGCAATTGTTGGACTGCAAAAAAGAAAAAGGGAACAAAAACTAAAATGCCTTCACATTGAGTGCATATGCACAGAATTTATTGCAATAAATAATAAATATGCAAATTTCTAAATGGGGTTTGACAATTGTCAAACCAACGTGTATTCTTCCGTGTGCTTATTACGTTCCCGTTCAAGTTTAAAAATAATATTACTATGCTCAAGAGTGCCTTTGCACTTGACAAGATAACTAACTAACTACATATTAATATATACTGATATCTATATATGTACATAGTTGTTTGCTAGAATATGTCATGAAATAAAGAGAATAATTTTGTACTTTGGCCCATTGAAGAATACGAAAATTTTTAAGTGTTGGTTGACAGCGTAGCGAAAACGTACATACAGTGACGAACAAAAGTATTGGCACAGTGAATTTTTCGCAATATATGCCAAGTTTTTTTTTGTTCTAATTTATTTTCGATAATTTTTTATAGAAATATAGTTAATTTTATACCAAACAACATAAAAATAACATCTCTAAACTTTGTGCAAAACTCAGAAAAATTCATTAAATTTGCACACTAATTTGTAACTTTTTATTCAGATTTTTTAGAAAAATTCTAAGTATGCTGTTTTATAGTCCATTCAATTTTACTACAATTTTTACAAAATGTAAGCTTAAAGTTGCTAGAAAATCGCATTGACTTTTGGCAATTTTTTTAATGGAAGGTGTTGCTCATTTTCTCCATGCAAAAAATAATTGTCGAATATACTTTGTATAGAAAAACTAGCGTGAAAAAAATTACCAAACATCAACTAGCGACTTCAAACTTGCACTTTTTTATACTAAATTTGAATGGGCTATAAAACTGCATACTTAGAATTTTTCTAAAAAATCTGTATAAAAAGTTGGAAATTAGTGCAAATGTAGTGAATTTTCCTGGGTTTTGCACAAAGTTTACAGATTTTATTATTATGTTTTCTGGTGTAGAATGAACAATATTTTTATAAGCAATTATCGAAAATAAATTAGAATAAAAAACTTAGCACATATTGCGAAAAACTCACTGTACCAATACTTCTTTTCGGCACTGTATGTATGTATATGTGCACATAAGTTTGTATGCCAGTTTGTTGTAAATTCGACATAAAAATTAAAAATAAGATAAACCATGATAAAACCACAAGTTCAGTTGCGAGAGGTTTGCTTGTCAGCAAACATCGCTAGTAGCCAGTCCATCAATAAAACAGTCTGCTTGCGTTATACACCCGGCGGGTTTTTGTTCGTTTTATATTATCTAATAGTTGTAGTGGCCGATGAAAAATATAGTGCAATTTACAGAAATTCATTGACAAAGAACCAGCTACAAAATTACTAAAGAAAAAACAAAAACAAAAAACAAAAACAATATACATATGTAAAATGAATTAATGTACAATAATCACAAATCTTAAAAAAGTAATGTGACTCAGACTGAATTGTGTGTTGAGGTAATCAAGTGTGTAAATCAAAACGTACTTCAAGGCAAACACCGGCTAAAATCGAATTTATATTGTGTATTAGGTAATTTCAATCAAAACGAACTGAGACAAAATAAAATTGTGTTTAGTTGAGATTTGCACGCAATCGAGAATGGGAACATATGTATATAGTATAGTATAGTCAATGGGTGTAGAACATATTTACATGCATATGTATGTACTTAAGTGTTTCATGATACACTTGCATGAATGTAAGTGCTAATCTTAATAATGTGCAATAAAATAAAGAGTACTTACGTATATATGTATGTATATATGTATGTACAACAGGGACAATGAAAATTTTCCCTAAGAATAGATACATTCAGTGTAGTTCATACTTACACTCCCCAATTTTGACAGAGGCCATTGTTGCATTAAGGACAATAAATACTACAAAATTTTATATTAGTTTATGCGTAATTACTTTTCATTTAATGCGATTTTATTTTTGCTAAAAAAGAAGAAATTTCTTATTGTACAAATGGTTCTTGTTTAATAAATACGATAACTAAAAATTTTAATATTAGGATGCGCCCACAGAAGTCAATGATATGTATATAACATAGGACATAGACTTCCTTCGTTATGAAGGCTGTGACATTCTCACTTGCAAGATTTAAATAATGGATATTCCATGTGTAAGTGAACCTTTATGTCCAGTTATAAAGTAAATTGTTACACATGTACCGCTGGATAAATTATTACTCAAAATCCTAAATTGACGTAATTTGGGAGAAAAAATTCAATTATATTTCTTTTATCTGTCCGCACCGATAACACTGGTCGACGGCCAAAATTTACCAGAGACGCCGTTATGAAATTCGTATGTAAAATCACCCCCTGATTCCGAAAATCAAGGTTATTTTTAATTTTATGGTACCGTTTTTGAGATTTTTATATTTTTACAAAAAAAATTGAAAAAATCGGTAATGATTGTTTGTTATCTTTGAATCTACAGGGCCTAGCAAAAAGTGTTGTATGCACAGCTTATAGAAAATTTATTACCTTTTAAAAGCTTCAAACCGTTTTGAATTGCTTAATTCGTTCTTGAGATATATATGATAAGTGGACCCAATTTTTTTTTTTTTTGCAAAAACGGTAAATTGCAAAT